TCCTAGGTCAGAGATAAGGTGATTGAGGTTGCTGTGAAGTTAATGTTGATAAACAATATATCAGCCTTAATTTTTTTATTTTTTAAAATATATCAGCATTTAAAAAATACTTTCAGCATAAGAGGTAAGAGTTGTTGGTAAACATTTTTTATTTTGTTTGAAGTATTCCTGTGGAAAGGGAATTTTGATGATAGTTTTCACTCTAAGAAGTGATACATATCTAGGTATAGGATTGATAGGTAATGCTAGAAATCTTAAGCAAATACCATAATTTTATCAGTGGGTGAATAGAAGCTTCATTTAGTCAAATCTAGAATCATCAGTAAAATTCAGACCTCTAGAATGGAACCTAAATACCAGAAAATATTCTTATCCTTTCTATAATTATAAGTCACTTTTTGAATTCTAGCTTATTAAATACTCTGTATTACATTTGTTTCACCTTTACGTTAGGTGAGGATCCTTTTTCTCTTTCTCTTGCCTTGACACAAAATAACTATTAAGCCCCAGTATTCTCCTCCTCAAAACTTTGGCTATCATTACTCCTAAATTACTAAGAAGGTAGCTAGTTTTAAAACTTTATTGTATAGATTCACAGGAATTTGCAAAGATAGTTCAGAGGTCTCTGGTACTAAGCTATTTTTATTTATATTTTTTAAAGGTTTTTTCCTTTTTTATTCATTGATTTTTTTTTTTTTTTTAATTTTGGGAGGGAGCCCACGAGTGGAGTGGGGGATGAGGGGCAGAGGCAGAGGGAGAGAGAATCTCAAGCAAAATCCCCATTGAGTGGGGAGCCCAACACAGGCTCAAACGCACAACCGTGAGATCACGACCTGAGCTGAAACCCAAGTCTGATGCTTAACTGACAGCCACCCAGGCGCCCCAAAAGATTTTTTATTTTTAAGTAAACTCTGTACCCAACATGGGGCTCAAACTCACAACCCCAAGATCGAGTCACATGCTTCACTGACTGAGTCAGCCAGGCTCCCCAGAAATTTTTATTTATTTATTTAGTTTTTAAAGATTTTATTTATTTGACAGAGAGAGACACAGCGACAGAGGGAACACAAGCAGGGGGAGCGGGAGAGGGAGAAGCAGGCTTCCTGCTGAGCAGGGAGCCCAATGTGGGGCTCTATCCCAGGACACTGGGATCATGACCTGAGCCAAAGGCAGACGCTTAATGACTGAGCCACCCAGGCGCCCCTCCCCAGAAATTTTTAATTAAGCCATAATACCTGAATATTTTTCCTTTAGAATTTTTGGGTAGTGGTTAAAGAATACTGAAAATAGGTAAGGGTTAGGATGAGTCACTGATATGCTTTTTTTTTTTTTTTTTTTTAAGATTTTATTTGTTTGACAGAGACAGCAAGAGAGGGAACACAAGCTGGGGGAGTGGGAGAGGAAGAAGCAGGCTCCCCGCTGAGCAGGGAGCCTGATGCGGGGCTCAATCCTAGGATTCCGGGATCATGACCTGAGCTGAAGGCAGACGCTTAGCAACTGAGCCACCCCAGTGCCCCAATAAATACTTTCTTGTTGCCTGAAAAGGGGTGGAGAAAAGAGGACAGATGCTTTTGCGTCTTATTGCTCAAGTCTTCAAGAATTTGTGAAAAGTTCTTCTCGAAAAAACTCAAGCAAGGATACTAGTCAGGCTTTCACCTCTCGAACGATTCAAATCCTCCTCTGCTGAGGTGAGCATTCACATGAGACATAAATACCTTCACCTTAGAAAAAGCTAAAGCAAAAGTGTTTGCTAAAAATTTAAGTCCTGTGTTTCCCCCTGACCCAGGGGAGGGTCTTATGATTCAGTCTTGGGGTAGGGCTTAGGAATCTTCATTTTCAAACACCACAGAGTGTTGCAGATCTCTAGAGAACACACTTGAGAAATTAGATTTTGGGATTTTTAAGAGAACATAGTTTTTTGTTGTTGTTGTTGTTGTTTTTAAATAGGCTCCATGCCCAGTGTGGGGCTTGAACTCACCACTCTGAGATCGAGTCACATGCTCTACTGACTGAATCAGCCAGGTGCAGGAAGAGGATGTAGTTTTGTTGCTACTTTATATTCTTATTAAGGTTACAGTTTCATAAATTGATGGTTTTCAGAATTTTGAGCATAGTTACAAATGTATTTTACATGTGGATGTGTATATACATATACATATGAAACAGTTCCATTGCAGTTACATATATTTAGACTCTGATTTTTAATATTTAAATCATAGTTGTGATCCTGGAAATTGATTTCACAACCAACATCTTCACCATTAGTTTGAAAACACCGTTATAATACTAATAAGTATTGTCCATGTTAGGGAAACAGCAGGATTACTGAGATGGAGTAGTACATTGATATCCCTTTTCTTCCTAAGGTGATTTAATCTTTGTGATCCTTTGAGGAAGTTTTATTATTACTTAAAAATATTTTTCTACTTTTGCCAAATTATCTACCACCCACAATTACCAGCTTGGCTTTTTCCCCCCGCTTTTGGTGCCTTATTACTGCACAATGAAGTGCCTTCCTATGTTACTAAAAACATTTAATGTTTGTATTTTGTATGCTTTAGAGGGAAAGGCAAGGGAAAAAACCCCCAGAAGTGAAATTAAAGTTTTTATTAAACTCCCTGAGGGAAAACATAATAGATTCCACAGCTTATTTGGTATAAAGTTCTAAAATAATTGGCTAGATCGTCTTCACTTTGAGAGTATAAATTAAGATGTAGAAATGATCTGAAAGTTTAGTAAATTAGTTGAAGATAAGATCAAATGGGGCGCATGGGTGGCTCAGTTGGTTAAGGGTCTGCCTTCAGCTCAGGTCCATGATCCAGGGTCCTGGGATCTAGAGGCCCCCTCCTTCTTGACCCCCCACCCCTGCTCAGCAGGGAGCCTGCTTCTCCTTCTCCCTCTCCGCCTACTTGTGCACGTGGGTGCTCTCTCTCTCTCTCTCACAATAAATAAAATCTTTTAAAAATTATTAAAAAATCAGATTAAATGAAGTAAAGTTTAGTCAAGAAAATGGCTGGCATTTTCCTGTTAATCCTTACCTGAATCCTTTAAGGTAGGAAATAGTGTTAGCCTATTTTACACATAACAAAAACTGCATCTAGAGATGTTTAGTAACACCATGGATACAAAGTTGGTAAGAACAGGTGTGAAACTTTACCTCAGACATTAGGATGATTATAATTTTAGTTATGCCTAATAAGAGGATGGGCATTTTTTATTCAGCTGTGAAAACAGCATGTGAAAGTGCAGTGGGGCAAAAGGATAGCTTCTTAAGGGTTAGAAATTTGATTGCTCTGTATCAGTAGTGGTCTCGCCTCAGATAAGTTACATGATTTTATGTAGCTGTATGTGAAGATCCAAAAATCACCTCTCGTTCATAAAAGAAAAGGCTAAATGCTCAAATCGCCTTGCCAAGTAAATAGGACGCAAACATTTAAGTACCAGATGCTGTGCTAGAATAGATTCGAGTCTGTCGCACCCTGGGTAAAAGCTTTCCTCTTCCTTTGTGGTTTGTACATACTTTCTTACAAGCTGTTGGTTTGTGGTCACCAAACTAACAGAAGACTTCAGGGAGAAAATAATTTAGGTATCAGAAACAGAACTGGTGGTATTGGCACTTACTACATCCCCATCTGAGTTTAGGTGTGTTTATAGCCCTAAGAAATTGATGTCAAGATTTCTTCCCAACAAAGATGTTGGGGACCTAAGGATATGTTAGAGAATGAGAACGAAGACTCATTCTCTAGAAAAACAGACATGCAAGACATTTGCATCTTAGGAGTTCTGTCTGAAGCCGATCCTTGCTGCCCGAAAGGATTGACTTTAGAATTGTGTTCACTGCTGTTCAGACAGCATCAAACAGTGCTTACAATTAACATGTTAACATGCACATGATGAAATTATTTGGTAGTGTGGTTTTATTTTTATGTGAAGGAATCTGAGTGTAGCAGGTTTAGCTTTAAGATGTTTAGCCCAGGAGGATTAAATCACAGTGATTTCTAAGTCTACATGAAGAACAGGGTTATGTTGACCCTTGTTTTATTAGAAACTGAGAATTGTAAAGATTTGTGTTCTCTACCAGTGCTTTTCAAACTGGGTCTGGACCAGTTTTAAAATCCATGTAATGAGTCTGACCAGCATTAAAACAAATGAAATAGACCAGAGTAGGGGGAAAATATCATTATGTATCACATAATAGAAGGTTAAACATTTAGTGAAACTTTGGCTTAAGTGTGTGTATTTATATATTTATATATGCATGCACGTATACATACATAATATTTCTTAATGTGTGATGTATTTTTTAAAAAGGTAGCCACGGCTCTGTACTTATCTGCTTGTGTGGTAATTTGGGCATCTGAATTACTCATATTTTTGTGGGTTTTGGGGGCAGGAGGTAGATGAATGGCTTCAAGAGTTAGGGTACAAGAGTAAGGGAGCAGCTGGTCTTTGAATCTTTAGTGATTAAGTGAAGTTGAGGTGGAAATTTACCTATTCAGTGTTTTTGGGTAGTTAAGGCTGAATTTGTTTTGTGAAGCTTTTGAAAGCTCTTATAACCAGAGGGAGATGTGTATGTTGTATATTTATAGTTGCATTTACTGGACTTGTCCATAGTCCAGCAAATATAACCTCAAATGACATATAGTGTTAAGCTATCTGATAGAACACCTTTCTGATCTAAGACTGAAAGGTCTGTTTTAAATAATGTCAGCTTAAAAAGAAAATAATGTCCGCTATTCTGGTGCTGCTTAGAACAATCATTTGAGTTTATACCTAAATGTATAATCTGTTTATACCTAAAATGTAGGACCAATAAAAAATGAAGGGCTTTGGGATTTTGGTGGGGAGGTGGTTAGTAGGTTTTTGTTTTTATTTTTTAATATGGAATAGAGTTCAGGAAAGGTCATACGTACAAACACTAGGTGGTGTTTCAGTGTAAGAAACTGAATCATAGACATTAAATGTTAATGTCTTCTTTTTTTCTTTGATTTCTTTCCAAGGTTTGGGCCCCATGGGATCCCTGTGACAGTGTTTCCCAAAAGGGAATATAAGGAGAAACCTGAAGCCATGCAGCTCCAAAGTAATACATTCCAAGAAGGGACAGAAGTCAAGCGTGAAGTGAATGGTGCTGTTCCCGATGACCCTTCTCCCATCTCTCCTCCCGAGCGGGGCTTGGCTGAAAGCCTGTGGACTTCCAAACCACCGCCTCTCTTCCATGAAGGAGCACCTTACCCTCCCCCTTTGTTTATCAGGGACACCTATAACCAGTCAATACCTCAGCCACCGCCTCGGAAAATTAAGCGACCCAAACGAAAAATGTACAGGGAAGAACCTACTTCAATAATGAATGCTATTAAACTGCGACCCAGGCAAGTCCTGTGTGACAAATGTAAAAACAGTGTTGTTGCGGAGAAAAAGGAAATTAGAAAAGGTAGTAGTGCAAGTGACTCTTCTAAATATGAAGACAAAAAACGGAAAAACGAAAGTGTAACTACTGTGAACAAAAAACTGAAAACTGACCATAAAGTGGATGGGAAAAACCAAAACGAAAGCCAGAAAAGAAATGCTGTGGTGAAGGTTTCCAATATTGCTCACAGCAGAGGCAGAGTAGTCAAAGTTTCTGCTCAGGCAAACACATCAAAAGCTCAGTTAAGTACTAAAAAAGTGCTCCAGAGTAAGAACATGGATCATGCAAAAGCTCGGGAAGTGTTGAAAATTGCCAAAGAAAAGGCACAAAAGAAGCAAAGTGAAACCTCTACATCCAAAAATGCACATTCAAAGGTCCATTTCACACGTCGCTATCAGAGTCCTAGCTCAGGTTCCCTTCCACCCCGGGTTCGTTTAAAACCACAAAGGTACAGGAATGAAGAAAATGACTCTTCTTTGAAGACAGGACTTGAGAAAATGCGGAGTGGCAAGATGGCACCCAAGCCCCAGTCTCGCTGCACCTCTACCCGCTCAGCAGGTGAGGCCCCTTCAGAAAATCAGAGCCCCTCAAAAGGCCCTGAAGAGGCCAACAGTGAGGTTCAGGACACCAATGAAGTGCTTGTGCCTGGTGAGCAGGATGAACCACAGACACTGGGCAAAAAGGGCAGCAAAAGCAATATCTCTGTTTACATGACCCTAAATCAAAAGAAATCTGACTCTTCCAGTGCTTCAGTGTGTAGCATTGATAGCACAGATGATTTGAAATCCTCCAACTCTGAGTGTAGTTCTTCCGAAAGCTTTGATTTTCCTCCAGGCAGTATGCATGCACCTTCCACCTCCTCCACTTCCTCCTCTTCAAAGGAAGAGAAAAAGCTCAGTAATTCCTTGAAAATGAAAGTCTTTTCCAAAAACGTCTCTAAATGCGTCACACCAGATGGCAGGACCATATGTGTAGGGGACATTGTTTGGGCCAAGATCTATGGCTTCCCTTGGTGGCCAGCCCGTATTCTCACTATAACTGTGAGCCGGAAAGATAACGGCCTTTTGGTCCGACAGGAGGCCCGTATTTCGTGGTTTGGCTCTCCAACAACCTCTTTTCTTGCTCTTTCGCAACTCTCCCCCTTTCTAGAAAACTTCCAGTCACGCTTTAATAAGAAGAGAAAGGGCCTGTACCGCAAGGCTGTCACAGAGGCGGCTAGGGCTGCCAAGCAGCTGACCCCTGAAGTGCGGGCTCTGTTGACACAGTTCGAAACGTGAACGTGGACAGTAAGGTAGGCAAGAACCACTGGAAGGCACCGCAGATTTCCTAGTCTAGTTAGGAGTAACTTCTACGAAATAGCGTGGCCAAATCGGAGGGAGGAATTGTACTCCGTTGGCTGCTTTTTTATACTTACCCGATAGCCATTTTTAGACTGAGAAGCTTAAACCGAACAAGCAATCAAATTTTGTCTTAAGGAAGTGAGATTTTAGCAGTATTTTTCAGTTTTGAAGTCAAACCGTCCCAAGGCATAGGAGCCATAGCCTCAACTGAAAATGAATTTTTGCAGGGACTGTTAATTGCCATTTGTACCTAGTACTGTGTGTATGTGTGTATATTTATATATATGCACATGTACGTATATGTGTGTAGATGCAATACATACATATATATAACCTAGCTTGTCACCGTGTGACATAGGTTGCATATTTGGGATTGCAGTAAGGGCTGGGTGAGCTGGGTTGGGGGTGGGGATGGGGAATAGTGTGGATATTTAATGACTACTTGTTTTTTAATTAATGAATACTTAGCCCTTCTATGTGCACAACGGCGCAAGAGTTTGATACTTAGGTGTTTGACAAACTGAGATGCTTGCTATTCAGTTGTGGACTGGGGAAATAGCCCAGTATTTGGGGTTAAGACTTTTTAAGGCTGACAAGGGTTGAATCGTCACTCTTGTTTAATGGGGATTTAACAAAAACTTTCAAAATTCTGGTTTGGGAGTTTAGGTAGGTTTGTCTTTGGATATGTAAATAGTTGATTGCTAAATTTGGTCAGATTTCTCCTGACTGGCTGTTCCTAAATTCTTAGGATACGTCCTGGTAAATTACACTTTGTGAATTAATTGTCATATGTGTAATTGTTGCATTTTGGATGTACCTAATTTGATAATTTAAAAAAAATATTTCCATTTAAGGTATCTGTTTGCAGGTCAGAAAATGAGAAAATGTAATTGTGTAATGCTCTGAAATGTAAAAAAAAAAAAAAAAGCTGTAAATAAAATCAACTAAATCCAAATTATTTGTGTGTGTTTCTCAAAAAGCTTTGAAAAATATCAAGATGGTAGAAAGTTACTCTTTGTAATAGTGTATAGAGGAGATGAAAATTATCAAACCTTTATTTTCCTATTTGTCCTATCAGAATATATTACCTGGCCATAGATAAAATTCAAGTAAGTGATTAATCCATGTATTCTAAAATGAGGTTTTATAGTGTAGAGGTCTGATAACGCTTCTAGATTTGAGACCCTCCTCCCGCCAATTTCTCATATATGTGTGGGTTTAATTTTCCTCATGTTTAGCCTTAATACTTCATCACATGGCTCTTTTTTAATATTTGGGTAGTTACAACCAGTCTCTCTTTAGCCTGGTCTGCCTCAGGTATCCTTGCTTTTGGGGCTAGTAACTTAGATCACTGTTTTTCTACATGGTCCGTCTGTCCCTCAGATTTGACTTTCCATTTTTAGCTTTTTATTGTTAGTGAAAAATAGATCTGATTGCCCGTGGAGGCAAGTTTATCCCAAGATTTTTCAAGTTGCTTTCATATTTTTTTGTGTCTAACTACCTTTTGAATTTCATAGAGTATCAATTTGACACATTCAGAAACTTGAAAATTTTCAAGAGAGCAACTTTCTGTGTAATTCTAAGTAATCCAATTTGAAATGTCTTAGTTACCTATGGAATTAATGATGAAAAGATAAATGGAGATTAAAATCCATAATCTCAGCTTCTTTAAAGTGACGGACTTTTATGATTTATGTACTGATTTCTGCAAAAGCAAGTAGAATTTCATCTGGGGAACTCAGTCAATGCTTTTTGATTATAATAAACACACAATTAAAAAAAGTTTCACTTGAGTAGAACATATTCTTTCCTGCAAACAGAAACAACTATACTACTTTTAAAATTCTTTGATTATAACAGGTTGAAAGATGTTCACGGTGTGACTGAGGGGTTTTAAGGAAGTATCTTAAATTTTTGAGTACTGTTTCAGATTAATGAACTTGTTCAGATAAAATCTAAGGTTCAGAAAGATTTAAGCGAGGCAGAGCAAAAAGTCACTTAAAATAATTTAATTCCAAGGCTTCATGTAATGATCCAGGTGAGTTTTATCTTAACATAGTGGGTTTGACAGTAGATATTGCTAATAAGTTGAGTGCGTTGGCAAATGCGCTCTGTTGGCATAAACCAAATTTGATTTGTTTCAGAAGCCCTGATTGGGGGTGGGTGGCGGGAATAAAGTCATGATGAGTACAAAAATAACATTAAATTTTATGTAGTCCATACCACGGAGGGAAAGGTTCAAGCATAATCACAAATGTGCATGATCTCTATCATGCCAAATGATCCCTCCATTTTATTTTTTTATTTTTATTTTTTTAAAAGATTTTATTTATTTATTTATTTGAGAGAGAGGATGAGAGGAGAGAGAGCACATGAGAGGGGGGAGGGTCAGAGGGAGAAGCAGACTCCCCGCCGAGCAGGGAGCCCGATGCGGGACTCGATCCAGGGACTCCAGGATCATGACCTGAGCCGAAGGCAGTCGCTTAACCAACTGAGCCACCCAGGCGCCCCGATCCCTCCATTTTAAACTGGCATATTTCATCTGATGTTTCAGTAAGGAAAAATTTTAAAGAATTCCTTAATCTTAAAATACATACTAAACACTAAATCCAGTAGCTGCATATTTGTGTTTCCAATTTCAAATGGAAATTTTTAAATTTTGAGTAAAGTTGACATAATGTTACATTAGTTCAGGTGTACAATAATAGTGATTCAGCTTCTCTACATTATGCCAAATAGAAATTTCTTTTTTTTTTTAAGATTTTATTTATTTATTTGAGAGAGAGAATGAGAGACAGATAGCAAGAGAGGGAAGAGGGTCAGAGGGAGAAGCAGACCCCCCGCTGAGCAGGGAGCCCGATGTGGGACTCGATCCCGGGACTCCAGGATCATGACCTGAGCTGAAGGCAGTCGCTTAGCCAACTGAGCCACCCAGGCGCCCCCAAATAGAAATTTCTTAAGCAGGTAAATTTATCCAGTATTTACTGCAGATGGAGGAGATAGAGTTGAATTGGATAGTTGCAGCTCTTTTCCTTTAAAGTGGTCAGAGGAGGCATTTACTCTTTGTATGGAGATAACCAAATGTGTTTTTTTTCCTTTTGCAGAGAGAAAACTAGGCTTAGGCCAAATCTCCAGCGATCTAAAAAAAAAAAAAAAAAAAGGGTAAAACAAAGGATTAGCAAGGGGAGAAACCAAGTGAAAGTAAGCTGTAACAGCCAGAGAGGTCTTTATTTCTAGAATTGCTCAGAAATTTAAAGCATCAGAGTATTTTTCTTAGTTTCCCAGAATGTATTGAACAGAATGCTGACTGTTCATTTGAAAGGGATATCTTTTCGACTCATTTATAGATGTGGAACTAGATGTAAAAAAGATCAGTGAGATGGGGAAAGTAAAATTCATTAGTCTGCCCCATTTGCATGATTTGATGTATCCTACGTGGTTTTGATGGAAAATTCTATAAACAGTAATTTTAAATTAGTACTAAGTAGACAAGGATATAGATATGAAGACAGATTTCAGGCAGTATGAAAGTGCTGCTAAAATCAAATGTGTATCTTGTTAGTGGGTCTGAGTTTGTAATTTACAAAATACTGACTGGCACTGCTATTTTGAGCAGGTTGTACTTAATACTGGTTATGTTGAAGGAAAGATAACACATTTGCATTCCTCTATATACATAGAGGATTCCTTTACATAGAATAACTGAATTGGGAATTGGAAATACAGGCATACCTCAGAGATACTGTGGGTTTGGTTCCAGACCACCACAATAAAGTGAATATTCCAATAAAGCGAGTCATGAATTTTTTGGTTTCCCAGTGCATATAAAAGTTATTTATATTGCAGTCTATGTGCAGTAGCATTGTGTCTAAAAATAATGTATATACCTTAATTAAAAAAATTTTACTGCTAAAAAACTAACCATCTGAGCTCTCAGTGGGTCGTAAATCTTTCCCTGGTATGCAGAGTCTTGCCTCGATGCTGATGGCTGCTGACGGATCAGGGTGGTGGTTGCTGAAGGTTGGGGTGGCTGTGGCAGTTTCTTAAAGTAAGACAGTGGTGAAGTTTGCTGCATCGATTGACTCTGCTTTTCATGAACAATTTCTTCTTTGGCATGCAGTGTTGTTATATGGCATTTACCCACAGAGGAACTTCTTTCAAAATGGTGTCAGTCCTCTCAAATTCTGCCGTTGCTTTTTATCAACTAAGTTGATGTAA